TGAGACGGAGTCTCGCTCTGTCACCTGGGCTGGAGTGCAGTGGTGTGATACTGGCTCACTGCAACCTCCGCCTCACAGGTTCAAGCGATTCTCCTGCCTCAACCTCTCAAGTAGCTGGGATTACAGGCACACACCACCACATCTAGCTAATTTTTGTTTTGAGACAGAGTCTAGCTCTGTCGCTCAGGCTGGAGTGCAGTGGCATGATCTCGGCTCACTGCAACTTCTGCCCCCTGGGTTCAACCTCCACTTCCCAGGTTCAAGCAATTCTCCTGCCTCAGCCTCTGGAGTAGCTGGGATTACAGGTGTGCACCACCACACCTGGCTAATTTTTGTTTTGTTTTGTTTTGAGACAGAGCCTAGCTCTTCCGCCCAGGCTGGAGTACAGTGGTGCGATCTCGGCTCACTGCAACCTCCGCCTCCCAGGTTCAAGCGATTCTCCTGCCTCAGCCTCCTCAGTAGCTGGGATTACAGGTGCCTGCTACCATGCCCAGCTAATTTTTGTATTTTTAGTAGACATGGGGTTTCACTGTGTTGGCCAGGCTGGTCTCAAACTCCTGACCTCAAGTGATCCACCTGCCTGGCCACCTAAGCTGGGATTACAAGTGTGAGCCACCGCGCCTGGCTTAATTTTTGTATTTTTAGTAGAGACGGGGTTTCATCCTGTTGGTCAGGCTGGTCTTGAACTGCTGACCTCAAATGATCCGCCCACCTCAGCCCACGGCAGTGCTGGGATTCCGGCTGTGCTGACAGGTCTTTAAGGGCTGTCCTGGCTGTGAGAGTCTGCGATGCCGGAAGGCCCTATGTGGATGGAGGGAACGCGAAGGGCTTGGTGCTGGGGTATGCCCTCTGGCTGCACCTCCCGATCAGGGGCTGGTGGGGGTACCTGTTCAGGCAGCCTGTCTGAATAATCAATCCTAAGTCTCATGCATATATCGAGAGCCTGCCAAGGTCAGCTCAGACCAGGACTCGGAGGCGGCTAGCATTCCTCTGGGATTCCAGTCACCTGACTGGGCTGAGCCAGACCTCGAACTGCTCAGAAGCCTGGGAAGGTTTGGAAAGCACTTCTAAACTACCCAAGGACGCACATGCTTCCTTCTGGCAGGCAGAGGGCCATGAGGCCCTGGTTGTGCCCCTGAGGGGCTGTGTGACCTCAGGCAAGTTCCTGCCCTCTCTGGGCACTACACTGTCTTCTCTACACTGGGAGGATGGCGGAGGGGAATGAACCCATTAGTCCTCAGCCTGCGAGATGGACACTTCACAGACGTTCTTTAGGGGAGAGGTGGTTTTCTCATGGCACAGTTTGTTGGTAACCGTAATCTTGCCTCTGTGACTCTCTTCCATCTTGGTGGGAACTATGAGAATCACAGCAGGGCGCCTGTTCATGCACACACCCCTAGAAACGTTTGGCTCTAGCAGTGGATATGGCCAGGTAGCGAATGGTGGGTGGGGGCTTGGTATTCTGCGGGCAGGAAACAGGCTGGGCCGACACAGGGAGGCTAGCAAGTAGAGGGTGAGTTTGGAGAATTCCCAGTCATTTGTGCGAAGTCAGGGCAGGAGAAGAGAGGGGAAGCTGCCTTGGTGAGTATGGACAGGTCCTGCAGGGCCATCTGTGCTGGCCGGGAGCTTGCTGGGAGGACAGCCTGAGCCACTGAGAGGCTGGAAAGACCCTGGTTAGACTGGTGTCTTCAAGAGTTCACGCTGGTCGGTCTCAGCCTTTCCTTTGAGATCTTTTATTTGTTTGTTTTGTTTTTTGAGATGGAGTCTCGCTCTGTCACCCAGGTGGAGTGCCATGGTGCGATCTCAGCTCACTGCAACCTCCGCCTCTCGGATTCAA